AAATAACTCAATTTTCATCATATGGACAAAAGCAGTAAAAACATTATTTAAGATATCTTCTTTTTTTGTAGGTAAATTATGAAAGAATGAAAAATGCCTTTAAAAACAGAATAATACAAGAATAAATTTAGATGTTTTGGATTTAGGATGAAAATTCCCATTAACACGTTCAGTCTAAACCAGTTTCTCAGATACCAGGAAAGCACAAGTTGTTCACAATCATCGTCTTGCGTTGGTCTCAAGAAATGGCTAGAATGGAGAACATGTCAGACGTCAGCCCGAGGGGATATAAATGGACCCTTGTTGCCTTGTTGTGAGTGACAGTTCAACAATTAAACTGACAAGGTGAACACATTCACACTCGCTGGCCCTGTAGCCTCTATCTAAGGAGACTAAATGCACGGTAGATTTTATAAGATGCAAACAGCATGCAGGCTTTGGCCACTCAGGTGTCCAATCATTCCTGTATAATGGAAACCAGGAGTGCATTGCAATGACAGTAGCCTGAAACTCTTTCTCTCATACTTTATTCCTGGTTGCTGTTGGAATAATTGGAGTCTTGTTTTTCGTTAAATATGCTATTTTCACTCTGGAGGGGTCTAGCAGACATATCATGTGGCTACCTTTCCAAACCAGTATTGTATTATAGAAGAATAATTAAAACCAAGATTTCTTAGAGTCTATAGTGTAGCTTAGGACGTGACATGATGTTCTTGGAGTTTTTTCTTTTTTTCTTTTTTCCTTTTCTTGAAAATTTTTACCGTTTTACACTTTTCTTAATGTTCTCTGGGATACTTGACTCTGCTCAATCATGGCGTTCTGTATTTAAATAAATATTTGACTCTGACAGTAAATATCATTCTATTTTTTTTTCTTGTATAATAAACTAATAATTAAAAAGTTGTAAATAAAACAAAGATTATATGAAAATATCATTTTAGCCTTCCTACTTCAAAATTTCATGTTTAATTCAAAGTGTTTCTTGCCAATTCTTCGTAATTATTTGTAAAATAAAAATAACATTTCAATGTATATTTTCACATAACAAACCAATTTTGGGACAAATTTGGGACTATACAAACCTCTCTTGCTCACTGTATCAGGGTTTATTTTGCAATGACTGGCTGACTCAATCCAGTTCCTCTTATCGGGCCGAACAACAGCCTAAATGTGTTAAACAAACTTGCCTCTGGACTGTAGGCCCTTCGCAGTTCATATCTCATGATAACTAGATGTAAGCTCAACATTAGGTCCAATTGGTTTTCTGCCATCTCTCTCCCCAGCAGACCGAGTGGATTGCAAACCACTGAGGCAGACGACTCTTTGATATCTGCAGAGATGAAGGAAATGGCAGTTGCCTGTCAGCCTGATCAAGGTTTTCTTAGGTGTGCCAGTCTTTTGATGAGGCACCTTTTAACAGTCCGAGGCTCAGAGGTAAGATAGACAGCAGCACCTCAATCAGCAGCATCTCCTTTTGTGTTAAGCATGTTTTATTCTTCAATGCATGCATCATCTGACTGGTGCTTCTATCTTCTCTTTTAGCCGTTTGGCTCTGGTCTCTTGTTTAATGCATCCTTGATGTGGGTCAAACTCATGTATCTGAACATGAAATGTTCACAACTGCTTCTTCACAGCCATTACATTTTGAGATTTTTTTTTTTGTAATGTCTATAATTTTATAGTGATTCCAACAAAATAAGAGACGGAATATGGCCTTTTCTGCATATTGTAAAAGCATTTTTCACTTAAAGATGATCAAATATGAGTTAGTTTGACAAACCGCTGAAATTTCTTGCCTTTCATCTCCTTAATATGCTTGAGGTCTTTCTTTCTTGTGTTCTCGCTCTCTTTCCCACTCTGTCTGTGTCATTAATTATTAAATATCAGAGAAAGCCTAATTGCATCTGAACAGTGTGACACCATTAAGTAAATTGTTTGAAAAACTGGTACAGCGCAGCGTGCAGAGCTTTCTCACTCAGTTGCTGCTATCTGAAAGACATGCATCATCTCTCAGAAGATACGGTATCATTCTTAATGGACCATTGTCTTCTTCACCCATACTTAGTCGCCATTTCTGAAATTGGCAAATGTGAAATGTTTCAAATGTGGAATGTATCTGTGTACATTTTGAGTTAAAAAAATTCTATTCTATAATAAGGGATATAATAGAATATTCTGTAATAGAATATTCTCATAATATTTCATATGCATGAAATTGAAGTCTAGAAATTATAATTGCAAGCAGGGGTTTTATAGTTAACTAAAAATAAAATGTAAATTAAAATGAAACCCATAAAAAATTGTTATGTTAATGGATATTAAGTAAATAAATAAATACATTTTAGATAATTTATCATTTTAATTTAGTTTAACTTGATGTACTAAAACTGAAATAAATTAATAAAAATTTTAAATATTAATAAAAACTATATAGACACATAAAAATACTAAAAATTTAAAAATTTAAATGAAAATTAAAAATAAAAACTGATTCAAAATATTTATAAAAACTTTAATAGCATCTCAGTGATACTAAAATAACACTGGTTGCAGATGTTCTGTGTACAAATTATTATTTTAAATGTGAAATCTGTCCAGAAATTATTATTATTATTTATTTTATTTTTTTAAGTTGACACTCTAAGCTACAAATAACAATATATACAACAATTGTAAAATACTCTTTGACAATTCAGAATTTATTTAGTTAAAATACATTTGAAACATCCAGTAAATTATATTTCAAATATTTACTGCATTTGTTTTTTTTTTCCTTACAAAAGTTATCACAAACTGTACACATCATAACAACATACATAGCGATCGTTTTAGTTGTCCGGTGCAAGTATGACAAAGAATGACTGAGAAGCAGTTCATCAATAGCAAGAACAAGAAGTCATCTCAGGAAGTTGAGTGCTAATCAAAACAGTTGTACAATTTTTAGAAGCCATTACACAATATATGCAAATTGTGTATAAAGTTATTCAAGATCACGAGCCCATAGTACAAACCAATCACCAAACGATCCATAGAAATGCACTTTAACAACATAACAATTCAAAGAAATCCTCAAGTATATACACACACGCCGGCACTGGCAAAGTTAAATGAAATAAAAAATAATACCTCTCAGAAATAATAGGAGTCTACGTTTCTAAACAATATCTAATGTACTGGTATCAGCATGCTACAAGAATACTTCATCTTTGTTCTATCACATTGACTGAGCTCTGGGGCAGAAGCGCTGTCTTGTGCAAATTAATGTTAACAGTACACAGCCGTTTGTGTAATTGCCATGATTGCATTATTACTTAATGGACACACCAGAATACACTCAGAAAACCCAATCAGGAGGGTCCAGCTTTAAAACATTAGGTGTGCAATTACCATGATGTACCATATTATTTGCATACCGACTTAATAGATGCTGGATGTTTTCACACAATGAATACTAAAACTCGACCACATGGCTACTAATCATCAGGCAAATTTCACTCAAATGAAAAGTAAATTAAGTTTCTCTATTGTCCATCCATTTTAAATGACCAGAGAGCGAATGCTTCATGAATTGTACCTAAAGTTTGTGCGGTTGGCAGTGCTTCACCTCTCTTTTTGCAGAAAAAAAATGTTTCAATCACGTTAATTGCTTTAGATGTTATTGATTCTTTGAAAATTATGACAATTCATTCTTGACCCCCTCTGAAGAAAGCTCATCATCTTCAAATTTTTTTTTATCGTTAATGACACGTCAACATTGATTTCTTTTTGACTGTCATCCGAAGATTGATCTGCACATAGCATATTTTGCTAATATTCGCCTGATGGAATTATTTATAGCACCTTAACAGAATTACATGCAACGTTCCAACAGCGGGATCGCTCTGCGAGTGCCAAACACCATTAAAAGTTAATTTACTTGTCTATTTTTAAAAACACAATGAGGTTTTTCAAGTTAAGTTAAGAGTTTTAGAAATGGTAAAGGAATTTTTTTTTCCTGCAAGCAGTGACATTTAGTAATACATCAATAACTCTAGGAAATGAGAACAGGAGTGGGATGATTGCTTTTAGATTTGAGAATTTAATGTTCAGCAAGTGTTTCATATATTTAAAGACAATATGAATTTATATGAATATTTTTTTAAACAACTACAATAAAACATGCTACATCGTTTGGCTACTGTGAAAGTTCCTTTTGACCATAATTTTCACTACATGTTAGCTAAGAAAAAATAATTTTTTTTTTTTTTTTTAATGCCTAATTATGGAGAAATTTTGGTATATTATGACAGCTCTTAAGTTAACTTTCAGTGGCCTACTGCTTGCTAAATTTCTGTTTTTGTATATCCTAGATTTTTTTGATACAATAATTTTTTTTTTTTTTTTTAATGCCTAATTATGGAGAAATTTTGGTATATTATGACAGCTCTTAAGTTAACTTTCAGTGGCCTACTGCTTGCTAAATTTCTGTTTTTGTATATCCTAGATTTTTTTGATACATCAATACCTTCATGAAGCTTCTTATCCTGTTATCCTATACACATATATTATTTTTAAAGCTGAATTATTGTAATATATTTTCCATTTATTTACCAACTTTGAGACATTCAAGTATGATGAGCACATCATTAAATATTAATATGTAATTAAATTTAATTTTTATACCTTTAAATCAGTATGCTACAACAGTTTTATTAATATAAAGTCTTTAAAAGCATCAATTAATGAGCAAATGATGTCAGTTAGTAGAATCATTATTTATGTATAGTAAAAATGCTTTGACAATGTTTTCTCCTTCATAATGCCTCTCAGAGTCATGATGACAGACTCTAGAAGGAAGATCCATCCTGTCTCAAATAGTTGTAGACTTTTGACATCTCAGCATCTTAGTTGATATAAAGAAATGTTGTTTTATGACAACTGTAAAGTATTCTTTATATAAATAAAGACATATTAGAGGCTTAAATAATTGTAACAATGTTGACAACTTCATTGTTCTCCATTTGGTCACATGATTGTATGAATGTTTTGCATACCAAACAGGCCTTGATTTCATATTCAAGCACCTCTTTATTTTCACTCCCCTAACCCTCCATCAAATTTGTCAAATATTTTCACCAGACAGGGGAATATGTATCTGAAACGTTCAAGAATATGAAATTATAAGCACTGTCATTTCATGTGTCTGTGAAATGGCATGGAATCATTATACTGTCAAACAGCAAGAGGCGTAACATTTTTTCACTGTCAGCTTCAAAGTGACCTGAAAACTATTGTTTTAGGAGCTCATAAACTTGTACAGCGAAATGTCAAAGAATCAAATACTTGATTATGTTTGTAGCAGGGATACCAGTATTGATTAGTCCTTTTCTAAATAAAAATGCAAAGTTACAAGCTACAACTAGAGAAAAATATTCCCTATTAATTATACAAACCAAATGTGTTTTGCAGTTACAGTAGATTTGTGTGGACTCCAGGATGTTAAGGGGTCTGTGGGGGTTTTGGGGATGGACATGATCCTTGACTCTCAAAACTGGATGCTCTTCCAGGCCACTGCAGGGACAGATGATACCAAAATATCACACCAGAGTAGTTTAGGACATACTAGACTTAAATGCACTTGGCAAACGGATCAGAATAAGCCCAAAGCACTACATCAAGGCTCAATCTACATAACACTGTTGCAAAAGTTGTCATTGTAATTTATTTTTAGTTACATATATGTGCAAATGTGACTACAAATTATTATACAAATATTTATTGCATTAGGTCCAGTGAAAATATATAGTTTTTCATAATTAATTTGATATTGAAAAAAATAAAAATAAAAAAAATGTAAATTTAAATCTGCAGAACAACATTCAATAAATCCTGCAAATCCAAATGTTTACATTTTGCATGCCATAAAAACAACATAATGCAACACTTTTCCTAAAGGGCAAGTGACAATTGTGTCCTGCTTTCTGTTCTGATTCCTAGTTTCTCACCTCACAAAGTGCATGCCAGTGGGTGATGGGCTTGCGTGGGTAAGCTAGCATCTCGTTCCAGTGGTCCCTCCCAAGCCCCTCCGCATCCGGCCCTGCCCTGCACACCCCTATCACTTCATTGTGTCCAACTCTGAAAGAGAAACAGAACATAAGACTTGTTTTAGAAACCGTTTGCAGTGACAAGTGATTTGCTAGCTTTCCAACACATCTCATGACAGAAAGGATGCGCATCCAGATAAAAAGACTAAAGAAATCAGTGGAAATATTAGCGATATACTTGATCAACAGGACCTTTGTATAAATGGTCCCACATCCACCCACATATATATTTACTCCTTAATGGTTGAGCGATGTTTTGATGCCATAATCTGCCCTTAATTACAGCATAGCTGTCTGATTTAATAAATTTGCACAGCAGTGTTTTACAAGACCAGACTGAAAGATCTCCATTAAGATGTTTGCTGCAAATATTTGAATAACAACTGCCAAGCATGAGTGGTTTCCTAGCATGCGATCTTCATCATTATCATCTCTCATGCCAGAATAATTTGTCTTCAGCATGCTATGAATTTGTATGGTTACAGTTTTGATATCATCTAAAGGAGCAAGGACTGACCTGTCGTAATCCATCACCGTGATTGACAGGCTGACCTGCTCCACATTCTCAGGTGGGATGTCGAAAATGATGGCCTCATTATACAGAGGGTTGAGTGTGTTCTTTTTGGTGGTCGTCTTCCGCTTCTTCAGTCTCCGACCGTCACATATGAGGGAGACTTTAACATATGGATCTGTGGAAAGCAGCAAAGTGAATGTGTCTGAAGCTTTTCAAATCCGAAACACAAAAAGTAAAGCTTTTTTCCACAACCAAACATTTTTTAGACCTAGGTAATAGTTTATGCATGGAAGAATATAGTTTTATTTGCATTCATATAACAGTTCTTTCTGGTTCTCGAATCTGATTGGCTGAGAGCCTTTTCCAGCAGTGCGATATTCTAGTGAACAGAATCCAACCATTTCACTGTCTGTACCACTCCGCTTGCAGTATTTCTCACGGTGGTTCACTTGTGCCGTTGAACTGCTGTATAAACACAATATCACACTCAAAGCAAAGCAATATGGCTGTATATTGGCACGGCTGTGATTTGGCCGTAGGTAATCACAGCATGCTGATATACAGCCATATTGCATTGCTACGAGTGTGATATTGCTCATTTTCATTTATTTTCTTTCTTTCTTATGTTCAGCTTGCGATTTGACAAACCCCACAGACATTTTAATATCTCACCAAACGTACTTAGCATTGATGTATCTAGTTGATGACTTATGAGAACTCATACATAAACAAAATTTTAACCTAATAACATGCATCAAATGTCCTCTATGAAAAATTGTATATCTATTTTGGGGTTTGCAGAGATTACTTTTCGCATTTCTTCTGAATGACTGTAGAAAGAAAATTCTGCCAATAGTCTAATTGTATTTATTTTGTTGTATTTTTCTACAATACATTTTTGTATTTAAAAGCCTTAATATATTGGATACCAGTGACATTTTTTTAAAAAGTGCATGTCTAAATTGTGGTACAACTGACGTTTTAGGTTTCAACAGTTTCTGTCTACATAAATTAAAAAGGAGAAAATTGGTTCAAAAATTCCTATTATTATTTTCACTGTCATTGGAGTCTCTAGCTAAATCAGGGGTGTCTAATCCTGCTCCTGGAGGGACACTAGTATGCAGAATTTAACTCAAATCCTAATTAAACAAAGCTAATCAAAGTCTTTAGGATAACTAGAAACTTTCAAGCAAATGTTTTGGGGTAGGTTGGAGCTAAACGTTGCAAGAAGCAAGTTTGGAACCCCTAAGCATAAAGATAGTAAAATTGTGAGGGACAGAACATGAGGGTTAACACTGACCAGAGTAGCCGGTTATGTCCATGGCTTTCAGATTGCGACATTTGATGACGGTGAGGGTCATGCGTCCAGCCGTGGGAAGATAGCAAAGGGAATACATAATTTCACCCAGATCAACACTCTCCTGAAAGAAAGAAAGAAAGAAAGAAAAAGAAAGAAAGAAAATTAAATATTGAAAAGAATATATTGTGCAGCCAATATAACAAGTTGATTTGACTGTTGGCTGAAGTGATGTCTGCACGTCAGTGTCCTAAAATAGCATTACAAATGACTGATTAAATGATCTGCAGGATCTTCAGCATATATTGTAAGATGATTTTTATTGTAATATATTGTAAGATAAGTCTCTCGAGAGAGAGAGCACTTCATGCGACTGCAAACAAAATCCTTATAGACTGACTCTCCAAATAGACTTTTATTTGCCTCGTCAACAACAACATAGCTTGGGAGATATTGGACTAATGTTTGCTCATCAGGTTTAAACAAAGCCATATTATATGTTAAATCTAGAGAGAGGATATATCTGTAAAAACTTTAGGGAAAAAACTCAGTGACTCAGAAACAACTACACAGTTGTGGAAAGAAATATGACTCTTCTAAGAAAGCAAGCTTTTTCCAGGAAGACATTAAGACTTTCATAACAGTTGTGTTTGTGTGTGTGGACGTGTTTCTGTGGGATGTATAGTTTGGGTGGCTTGTGCGATTAACTCAATTTTGAATGAGACAGATCTAGCTTCCCTGGCCTTTATTAGCTTTGCAGAGGTGGTAAAGATTATTCTAAAAGGCCAGTGTGTATTTTGGTATTTACAGACATTCGGTACTGGAATAAGACAGCCATTATTCTTTCAAAGGCAGCTAAAGATAATGATTAATCTGTCCAAGTAAAGATTAAAAAACAGATTGCATAATAGGGAGAATCATACAGAATCACTGTTGTACTGTGTTAAAATGTCAAGTGTACCACATGCCTATTTTCCAGCCTTCTAAGTGCAATTTCTCAATACCATTGATCACATACTGTTACCTTTTTTATTAGTAATTTTTGTCTTCTGATTAAAAATAATCTTTAAATTTAATTACTATTTCATTATATTTATACATTTTTATTCAGTTTTACTCTACAATGGCAATACACTGCCGTTCAAAAGATTAGGGTAATTTTAATGTTTTTGAAAGAAGTCTCTTACACTGTAAAAAAAATTCTGTATAATTTATGGTAAAAAAACGGCAGCTGTGGTTGCCGGAATTTTACAGTAAAAAATACGGAAGCAACGTTTAAATTTAAGTTTTACGGTTTTAACTTAAATTTACAGTTAAATACCGTAATTTCATTAGTGTACACTCACCAAGGCTGCATTTATTTAATGCAGTAAAAACAGTAATATTGTTAAATATTATTACAATTGAAAATAACTGTTTTCTATTTTAATATATTTTAAAATACAGTTTATTCCTGTGATGGCAAAGTTGAATTTTCATAATTATTACTCCAGTCTTCAGTGTCACATGATCCTTCAGAAATCATTCTAATATGCTGATTTGACACAGAAACATTTCTTATTTTTTATCAAAAAACAGTTGATGACAAAACAGCAGCACTTATTTGGAATAGAAATATTTAGCAACAATCAATTTACGGTTATTCACTGTAAATTATACGGTCTTTTTCTCTTCCAAAAATGGTATACTACCGTAAAAATAATGTCCAATATTTTCACCGTATATAGTAGGGGAATTTACCGTTAACCATTTAACAGGTTTTTACTGTAGCATATTTACAGTCTTTTACCGTTAAATTCACGGTCATTTTTTAGTGTACACTCACCAAGGCTGCATTTATTTAATGCAGTAAAAACAGTAATATTGTTAAATATTATTACAATTTAAAATAACTGTTTTCTATTTTAATATATTTTAAAATACAGTTTATTCCTGTGATGGCAAAGTTGAATTTTCATAATTATTACTCCAGTCTTCAGTGTCACATGATCCTTCAGAAATCATTCTAATATGCTGATTTGACACAGAAACATTTCTTATTTTTTATCAAAAAACAGTTGATGACAAAACAGCAGCACTTATTTGGAATAGAAATATTTAGCAACAATGTAAATGTCTTTACTGTCACTTTTGATCAGTTTAATGCATCCTTACTAAATAAATTTATAGATTTATTTTTTACAAAAATCATGCTGACCCCATACGTTTCAATGGTAGAGTACATGTAGTCAACAAAAATAACAGTTTAGTTACCAAGAAAGTGCAAAATGAAACCATATATTCAAACATTTTATGTTAATTAAGCATGTATCATTTACTGTTAATGTGCAAGTGAATCCTCGACTATTTGAAAAAGATCTTTTTTTTTTCTTCCTTAAAAAAATCAGTGAATTATTAATTTCTTGTGGTGTGCTTGTCATATTTTTGGCAGCAGTACTGTATATTTTAATTCTCATTATCATGATGCACATTTCCTTATCTAATCTTCATTATTTCTGACAAAGCCGTTTGTTAACAAACACTGTTGTCCATAATTGACAAGATTATATATCAACACTGATTATATATCAAACAGATGTGTTACCTCCTCTGTTGTATTATGACGTCAGATCCCTTTCTGTCACATCCTATCCCCTCCTCTGACTGCTCTTGTTATCCACACCACAACTGTTGAATACAGAGAGCCACGGGCTAGTTCTGGAGTCACGTCTCCTATCAGCATTTGTCTCCGAAACAATTCACAAATCTTTTTGGGGCAATAATACCCTTCCTGTTTTGACTGGCCAACTTCCTCTCCTCCAGATCTGAATGGCCTTGTGCCACAGTAGCAATGTGCTCCAAAAACAGAGAACAAAATTAGACCTTCAAACGTCAGCTTAAGATAAAATAGAGGGTTTCAATGTGCAGTCGGAAGTGTAACGGAGCAAAGCTGCAATCTATGGCTCTGACTATTTTAGGAACTGAAAGTTACTAGCTTCTTTCCGCAGTCGGGTGCCTAAGAGCAGCTGGTCTGGTTCTGAGAGTCAGTTTTTCTCCCTAAAGGTCAGCTGTGATACTCTTATAATGGAGCACAACAGGTCGAAACCTCTCCACCGCCTTTCCAACACTAAACATCAATACTTCTGTATTGTAGCTATGAGGCAAAGCAATAGTCAGTGAAGAGAATGAGAAGGAAATAGCATGAGAATGATCCAAATGTTAGCAAAATACAACATAAGTGATTTGACAGGCACCGAAATGCGCATCCCTGTCAAGCAAACAACAGGAAAATGAATAAATATGCTGAAAACAACACAATCGGGAAATCAATGAGCCTGAAAGAGACTGATGCGTCAAACAAGTAGGAGGACACGATTGCGTTTCCCAAACAGGAATGACTCATAATCACAGATTCTCTCTGTGGTGAACAAAATGAAATGCTGTCACCATTTACTTTGTCTTTGAAGTAGGAAGGCAGTGGAATGTCATTGTTAAATGCATCTGAGTCACTGTAAGTGAGGTGTGTGTGACAAACGATGCCTTTCACCTCTACAGATTGTCTAGCAATTTAACAAGTCAGTATATACAGTATGTAATAATATATAATATAACGTCAAACCTGTGTGCATATTACCACTTAAAATAGGGTTTAATGTTTCAGGTGCTGTGAGAAATCATAGATTCTTAACTAAGTACCCAAACCTTTTTCTTTACCTTACCTTTACAACCTTGTTTTCTTCAGATATCTAGTATATGCTCATAATAAGGCTAAATACTTTTATATTATTCAAGCGCTAACTATTAAAGTGATAGTTCATCCAAAAATAAAAAATATTATCATTTACTCACCCTCATGTCGCTTCAAACCTGTATGACTTTATATGTGAAATACAAAAGAGGATATTTTGAAAAATGTCTTGTGTTGCAGTCCATACAATGAAGGTCAATGGGGGTCCACTGGAGTTGTTTTGGATCCCATTGACTAGTATACTAATAATTATATGAACAAAAATAGTTATAACATTCTTTAAAATACCATATATTGTGTACTGCAGAAGAAAGAATGTCAAACAGATTTTGAATGGCATGAGGGTAAGTAAATGATGACTGAATTTTCATTTTGGGGTGAACTGTTCCTTTAATAAGAGCTGTCCTTAAAAATCCCTCATAAACAACATGACTGATTCAGTTACATAAGCATAAGCTCTGATATATTAATTGAGGCGTAATGAGTGGGCTTCATTATCATGAAGGCCAATCTGACTAAGGAACCTAAAAAAATACTATGGAGGAAACTGCTTATGCTCCTTTGTCCTAAAAATGTACTGCCAGTAACATTTCTTATTTTAGTCTGCAGTCAGTGGGACGGTAGAACAACCTCAATTCCACACCTGTTGGATTAGTCATGGCTGTCGTTTGAATGCTCTGGCTTGATAAACATGCTTCCTGTGGCTCTGGAAACTGGCAATTGGATCTATATTTGGAAGGGGTATGTGGGTGCCCTGAAAGGGTGAGTCAGTTTGGAGATGAGTCTCCCTATACACCTGGCTTTACATAACAGATCAATCTATCCGTTAATGAGACCTTCACATTTGTGCAGTCAGTTTCCCTTGAGCTCTGTTTGACTGAAGCAGAAGTATGTGACCAGCTAGTACATATGTGAATACAGCTGCCCTTGTACTTCTGTTCGTTCATTTGTTTGTTTATTTTTCAAAGAAATCTTTGTCAAACCAACATTCAGTTTGTCTTGACAAACTTTGGTTTTAGTTAAAAATTACAGTTGAATTACTGATGAATTTCTTTGAGTTTCTGTTCATTTAAGTTCTACTTCCTAACATTCAAATTCTGCATCCTGTTTGCTACCTTAACTCAAATTCAATACAAATTGAATTAGAAAGACATTCTCAGTTCGACTCTGAATGGTGAACAACCCTTCCAGAAATCTGGTCTCGTACTGGTTATGACCTTTGATTTTCTATATGCACAAGGACTGTACTTACTGTAGTGGCAGCAAGGATGTCCTTCCAAACCACAGCTTCACGTGACAGGTCAGACAGCTCAAACAGGTTATCAACCACCACCTCACCGATCATGTCATGACTCGTAAAGCGGTCAAAGTCGAACACGCTGAAGTGCAACTTGCGATTGCACAGCTCACTGTACTCCACAGGGAAGCGGAACGTCTCGTCGAACGTGGGGTTGAGCGTCTTGCGGTGGACCCTCGTCTGAAACTTCTTTTTGCGCTCTGGAAGCAGGTAGATCTTCACGTAGAGGTCAGAGGTGCCTGTGAAGTCTTTGGCGGGCAGGTCCAGGGCCTTTAGAATGCGAACCACTAGAGCTTGTTCCTCATAGTCATAGCTGAGGGCAAAGCTCAGCTTGCCACACGTCTCTACCGGCTCCTTGGCGCCCTCTTCAGAGTCCACAGACTTCTGCTTGTACAGCTCAGGTTTGATACGACCAATACTGACTGTAGAAGACTGGCGCACAGGTAGAGTGTCCATGGTGAAGTCCACACTGGTCACATTCATCTGCCGCGGAAGGTGTCGGCGGAAAGAATTGTGCCTATGAAAAGAGAAGAACTTTATTGCTACTTTTGAAAAAAGAAAATTTAATATTTTGTAGTTACCAATGGATCTTCTGCAGTGAAAGGGTGCCATCAGGATGAAAGTTCTAACATCTGATAAAAACAACACACTAATGTTAACTCCAGTCCATCAGTTAACAGTTTGTGAAGTAAAAAGCTGAATGTTTGTAAGGCATTTTCACTTTAAATTGTTGCTTCTGGCCAAAATATCCATAATCCATAATGATGCTTCCTCCAGTCAGAGTCCATTACTCTCTCACATCAAAATCCACTATAATATTTGTTTTGAACTGTTTTGGACTGTTTTTGCTTGTAAACGGTGATTGATCTGTGCATATTTCTCTTCTGATTCAGACAAGATTGCTTTTTCACTGGAAGAAGCAATATTATGGATGGAGGAAAGTAAAAAAAAAATGTCTTGATGAATTTTTTCTTACAAAAATGCAGATTTTCACTTCACAAGATGTTAACTGATGGACTGGAGTCGTGTGGATTACTTGTGGATTATTGTGGTGTTTTCATCAGCTGTTTGGACTCTCATTCTGACGGCACCCATTCACTGCAGAGGATCCATTGGTGAGCAAGTGATGTAATGCTAAATTTCACCAAATCTGTTCTGATGGGAAAAACCTTGTCTATTCCATAGCACTTTAGTATCACATGTTCCTCTTCAAAATCTTTTATTGCATTTTTAGCAACTTTTATATTGTAGGCTTGACGATATTTTATTACAATAGTTAGGCCTGGCTCTTTTTACTAGAAAACCTATTTTCAACACTCATCATGACTCCTATGAGGAAATCATAGTTCTCTACTTATCCTTGGTGTTTCCTAGCAACTAGCACCTTTAGGACGATGACAACAAACATATGACAATGACAGCATGATACAAAAAAGTGATGGATTATATCATTTAACATCATTAACTTGTGATATATTAATCATAATATTTTTATATAGCTGTTTTTCCACATAATTCTGTTGTTTTTCTCACCTGATCTTTCTCTCTCTACTTTGTCCAACTCTTGTCTATCACCTGCACATTTGCTGCATATTACACCTTGTAATTTGCACAAACATCCCAGCACAATGCAATGATAAATTGAAGATAGACCGTAATTAACTGCTGTCTTCGGATGTTTGGAAGAGCACTTATTTTTTTATTAGCACATACACCTGTCAGTCACCTGTTGCAAAATAAACTGATGCCTGATCGCTACATGAACTAAAACTATCCTCTCTACTCATTTGATTTTGGTTCATGCAAGCTATCTAACAATAGTGTTTTATCATATTAAAGCAGAAGAAAGTTCATTTTTGCAAGAATGGGCATCATGCTCATGCATGGTTAAATAAAATGAATTGTACATACTTCAATTAAACATTTTAACTATAGAAACAGACCTGAATTCCAGCTTAGATACTAAAGGCATTTAATGGATATTTTTGCTTGATATGTGGAAAAAAGGTCATTTATTATGGGTTGTGACTGTGAATCGTATCTTAGAAATCATCACCCGAGGCATTGTAAAACAATAAGGAGTTACATAATAATAGCAGTTTATATATCTTCAGTTTCTTCCCCAGAAAGCTAAATGATTTAAAACCTTCAATAGTGCATTAACTCATCAGAAATAGTTTAACTTTATCTTCTCCACAACATAGTTCTGCTCACTTTAGTGATCAACCTACCATGAAATGACCATTTCAAAGAAACTAGCTTCACATATTTTAAAGTCTTTTAAATAAGGTTTGCCATTATTTCAAGGCATACAGTATCTGCCTCTTTATTTATTTTATTATTTCTTTAATATTGGAAATGAAACTGGAGTCCACGTGATGTACTTCCAGAGAAGTTAATATTTAACAAAACGACAGAAGAATGGGAAAAGAAAACAAAAAAGTGTCAACCCAAGTCCAGCCAAACTGTCTTTCACAATGACCATTAAGTAGCTTCACCTGGCCTTTTTATGCACCCCATCAATGTGCGATTTATGAGGACACCTTTTTTGTTACACCATGTTGAAGTTTTTAATGACAATTCTGTGGCTTGTCAATAATGGATTCCATGAGGATCTGAGCACAGCTGTTCCTCACCTCCCCAGTCGGGCAAACAGTCGCAGTATGTCAGCGCTATTACGCGGTAACACTAATTACATCCCTGCTTTCTTTAAACACGGTTCCACGTGAAACAAAGTGAAGAAAAACTGATTGTTTAATTTCTGGGGTCATTTAATGCTGTTGCCATGGCAATGTGACTCTAGGGCTCTGGTTGGAGAACTATAGTGATTAATGGGCGTATGCAGCAACCAGGAGACGTGCCATCACCCTATCAACAGGGTGAATACCTGAAAATATAGTTGTGATAATAATAACAAAGAATAAAAAAAGCTATTTTGTACCTTAATTCCTTTTATTTGGACGTTTACGTATATTTTTTCAATTTTTTTAACATTTAATAAATACAGTACTATATATACACATACACAGTACTATACACACAAACACACACACACACACACACATATATATATATATATGTGTGTGTGTGTGTGTGTGTGTGTATAGACATATATATATAGATGGATGTATATCTATCCATCTATTAGTATATATAAAAGCAATATTTTTCAATATTATACCAATATTATTTTATACTAATATTGTTCATTTAAATAATAATTATACTAATTATTTTGTAATAATAGTTATTTTTTAATATTATACTGTATATTAAATTTTTTTGGTAGTATAGATAGATGTTCACTAATAGAAAATTATTTTCAAAATGCTTTATATTGTAAATGCTGGTGCAGCTTAATCTACTTAGTAGCTGTGATTTGGCTTGGATCCGGTTGTTTTATTTCTAGCTGGAAGGCAGCCATGAAAAGCATAAATGTGGATATCTCATAAATGAAAAAACAGCTGCTCCATCATTTGCTGTATTCAAAGGCACACACTGATCAAAAACCATTCAGTATGTGTTTATCATTCAGTAAAGGCATCCCTTTATAAGCATATCCTCTCAATTATACCAAGTATATATTTTATTATTTACTTAAGTTATTTACTCAAGTGGCAATAATGAAATGATTAACTCTCTTCTGCAGTGTCATTCAATGTGCAATCCAGCATCAAAAGTAGATCTCTATGTACTGTAATTTATCATGCAATTGGCATTCAGATGTGTGCATCACCTGGAGGACGATGTAGGTTCAGTGGTCTGCCTCTGGATTTTGGCCTGCTTGCTCAGACGGTCACGCAGGGCCTGCTGCACCTCAGCAGGTATGTCTGGTGACGTCTGGCTGATCTTCATGGCTGCCTCCAGAAGCTTAACCGAGCTGCGCCCGTTGACCTTCACTTCTGGTACCTTCCTCTTGTTATCGTTCTCATCCTCGTGCTGGATTTGCGATGGCTGCCTTCCCACAGTTCCAATTGCCTTGGCCTCAGGATGAGGAGAAACAGAACGAGACACCGGAGGTCGGGCCAGGGACAGGGGAGCCTCGGGCAGCACCCCCGGTGGGCAGCTGTCAGCATTGGATGAGAGCGCCTTGCTTCTCCAAATGGGCCAGCACAGCTTCCAAAAGACAAAGAGAGAGACTACCAAAAGGGCGAGCCCACAGAAACCTACGACCACAGCTAGGAGACTTACAGAGATGTCTACAGGCAACAAGGGGAAGAGAGAGCAAAGAAAAAAGAGGCAAGATTGGAAGGAGAGTGTGTTGAGGAGATCGTAAAGAAGAGAAGGTGAGGGGAAAAGGAGACGAGGATAGGAGAAAGAGATAAATGAACACCAGACAGGCAGACAGACAGCACCAGCAGCAATAAATGATGCATGACAGACAAACAGGAGAAAGAGGGAGAGAGAAAAAGAAAAGAAAGAGAGGGCAAGGTATAAGAAAAAGAAGACTGAAATGTGCTTGTATAGTAAAGCAGACATCAGAGTCATTTTGCTCCCCATTTTGGTGGTCCATGCAACCAAAGAATAAAAAAATCATTTCACAGGCACTCATAAAACTTGATTTAAAAAATGTTGATTTAAGATGCTAAAAGGTCTCTGAATGAGTGACACTGTTGAACCTTCATATGTGTCCAACAGGTGCAAGAGTTCAGCTTAATGCACTGCGCAGTGCAACACATAATTATAGTTGATTGCTGTATCATGAAGGGAGTTTTAGCACCATACTGCTAATGGTGCTACTAACCAATTAGAATTGAGCTACAGAGATGGACTCATTCTCATGCATGACCACTACCCTTCTAAGGCCACTGAAAATGTAAGAATATGATTATAAAAATATATTGATATCATTTGCATCAGCATGCTGTCATGTAATTTTATTTCTGGCTTCTAAAGCACTCGTGGCCATACTTTATTGTGAATATATCATGTACCTTAGTCCCCACTGTTTGCAGTACAGAACATCCTGTATTGTCTGGTGTTTTGAGAGAGTTTTAAGCCTATGCTACTTGTAGCTCTGTATTTAATTTTGGTTTGCTCTGGACTACAGGGACAATAAATTCATGCACAAAACGTTCATGGTTTGTATTAGTGTTACTCATCCCAGAAGTGTGGTACTGTATGTTGCACACTTATTTGCACAGGGATAAGTTTGTGGCCAACAAATTAAATTACATACATTGAAACATGCAGGTTTTTGTAGATTAAATATGTGCGTTATTCACGTGCAGTACAGAAATCTGTTTACTACGTTTTATCGGGGAAAACTCGCGAGTTTTTCATTAAGTATATTTTACGAAACGTCTGACGCATGTAATACACTTTCAGAAAAAAAGGTACAAAAAAGAAAGGTACTTCAGGCACTAATATTTACTTTTAAAACACTAATATGTAGCATTTAGGGGTAAATAGGGTACAGAGATGTATCTTGTAGCTTTTTTTTTTACCTTAGTATACCGCCCCAGTGAAATAAAACTGAGACAACGAATAGTTGCTAATTTCAAACTGGTTGCGCACTGAAAATCAACAAGTGGAACCGTCTGCCAATGTAATGTCTGATTTCAGGTAATGTTATTAATGTTAAGAATGTTTCTATGCCCGTGAACAAACTTTTCAAACTTTCAGCGATCTAACTTCGCGCGCTCGTGTGAGCTTACCTCGCCAACTAAAGTTCCTGGGGGAAAATATGTTTGTGAGAGGATAATAAAACATTGTTTAAGTTACATTTACCTGAACTTCCTTTACCTGGTATGTTGCTCTCCAGTGGAAGTATATCCGCGCATTTCTCCCGGTCGACGTGCCCGGCGAGGCACAGTTCCGTCACTATTTGGAGAGCCCTTTGGCACAGGCTGATGCCGTCCTCTGTGCGGACATTCATGTCTTTCCTGTTAATCCATTGTATGTTGGACGATGCGTGAGGGCGAGGGTTCATTGGGGAACCATGTGAGCTGCTGAGTGCAGTTGATGCATAAGGGAATGAAGAGAGAATGATGCATGCAAGTCCATGTCCTCCGCGCAAAAGCGCACCAGATTCTTTGGCGCGGTAAAACATTGTAGGGGCATTTCTACACTGCCCAATAGGAGACACGCGTTGTCTAGAGAGGGAGGAACATAAATAGGGCGCAAAATATACATCATGTTCTCATTATTTGAGGGAAAAAAAGTTATTCCAATGGAACATGCATTTGCTTTGAGACTGAGCTGTAAACACACTACATTGTATGCAGTATGTTGTCTATCCCCCCCCAAGTTTTGTATTGGCCATAGCTTTCAAACTTAAGATTAATCTGCAAAGCTGTATAAACAGTATATAAATTAATATATATAAAAATATGACCACTCATTGTTTTTTTTATAAATAAATCTCCTGTATTTACTGTACCTGTTCTACTTTAAAGCTCTTTGATAAAGTTCTGTTTAATAGTTAATTGAAAGTATTTTTAATAATCATTCAATTATCAATACAAAAGGAGTTTCCAAATGAAATGTAAACATGCATTGTCAGATGTAGAAAACAAGTCAAATATGAGTAGACATTGTATTTAATAGAACAAAAGAGGTCTGATGAATGAGAGAACAATATGTGCTTGGCTCGGTGCTGCTCATAGAGTCTGACAATCGCCTTGACAACCAAACACAAACTGGGGAGGAGTTGAGGCATCATCCTCATGCAGACCCATGTGTATGTGGCTTTGCCCTGTGAGACCATCAACTTCAGAGAATGCGCTTGTCTCATGCTAAACAGATGCACATAGTTTTGCCTGGTTGATTTATACAGGCAGACTGGATATAGAACAAAAGTTTCTGGGTTCACTCAAAACCCTGACTGACCCAGCATGTGGCAGATCTTTTCTGAATTAGTGACCATAATTGAAAATCTCCACATAGATGTCTCTGAAGTTTATTATTATTATTAATGTTTCTAACATATTTAATTTTAACATGAATTTAATATCAGTGTGGATTCCATTCCATTGTTCATGTGCCACTGAAATGTCAATAAATAAATAAATACATGAAAGTAATCAAGCTGTTTTCCAATTGGTTTAAGGTAATCAACAGTTTCTTTGCGGTTTATGCACCCTTGAGTCTTGCTTCTATTCTATTTGGATGTGACCATGTTCTTTCCTAATGCATTTGTTGAACACGATAACGTGTAATGCTATAGGAAAAACGTGACCTGGTTTCTTAGAGGTGTGTGAGTGTGTGTGCGCGTGCCATATGCTGGGAATGTCTCTTTCCAGGAATGACAACCATAAAAATTATTGCCATCAAACAGTACTTACTCTCAGGCTTAAGTGGCATGTTATTCGCTCATGAAGTCTCCTCAGTGTGATAGTAATAGGGGCTGTCCGTGGTGCTGAAATGTAATTATAATGGGCTGTACTTACAGCTAAGAGCCACTCTTGTGCTGGATAAAGTTCAGATGAATGTTAATGTGCACAAGCCAGTCTAATAAATGCAGCACTTGCAAACATTTTGCTCATATCAGCATAGATAAATACAGGTGTCTTACCACATTTTAGGAATATTTCACCCAAAAATGAAAATTTGCTGAAAATGTACTTACCCTCAGGCCATTCTAAATGTAGATGAGTTGTTTCTTTATCGGAACAGATTTGGAGAAATTTAGCATTAAGTCACTTGCTCACCAATGCGTCCTATGCAGTGAATGGGTGCCGTCTGAATGAGAGTGTAAACCGCTGATGAAAACATCACAATAATCCACACTATAATCCATCACAATAATCCAATTGACATGACTCCAGTCCATTAATTTACGTCTTGTCAAGCATAAAGCTGTGTGTTTGTAGTAAACAAATCCATTATTGAGACTTTTTAACTTCAAACTGTTGCTTTTGGCTAAAATATGACGCATCTATCCTTTTGTCCAGTGGAAAAAGTTGTCTCGTCTGAATCAGCACAGATCAAGCACTATTTACAAGTGAAAACAGTTTAAAACAGTTTTATAGAATGTCAGTGGATTTTGATGTGAGAGGACAACAAAAGATGGACTTTTTCCCTGGAGGAAGTGTTTTTATGGATTATGGACTCATATTTTGGCCAGAAGCAACGGTAAAAAAAAAAAACCTTATTAATGGTTTTGTTTCTTACAAGACATTAGTTGATGGACTGGAAACGTGGATTACTCGTTACTTATTGTGATGTTTTTATCAGCTGTTTGAACTCTCATTCTGACGGCACCCATTCACTGCAGAGGATCTATTGGTAAGCAATTGATGTAATGCTACATTTCTACAAATCTGTTCCGATGAAGAAACAAACTCATTTACATTTTGGATGGCCTGAGGGTGAGAATTTTTTTTGCAAATGTTAATTTTTGGGTGAACTTTTCCTTTATGGTAGTCAGTCATATTTGCATTGTTCTCATTAATCATTGAATACTGATAAGTATGAGAGAATATTGCAGCTTCTGGTCATAAAATGTATTTATTTTTGCACTAACACCATTTGGCGCATGTAAGAGCAGAAAGGCTGGTTCAATAGGTCAGTCAAAACACTGTATTTATACAGCATTAAATGGTGTGTGCTGATTCCATAACCTAAAATAAATAACGAGTATATTATGATAAGTAATGTCAATTAGCATTTCAATGGCACAGTTCCTATGGCATGCCATTAAGTACAGATGCTCCCATGGCTCACATGTCCACAAACCTCCATTAGAGCAGCAGGAAGATGCAGAAACCCAAATGACTATTTCAAATAGCTCTTTATTTACAGAGAAAATATCACACTCTCGCCATGGAGGAAATATCACTTACATTTATTTTCATGACACTGAAAGCTATTTGGGAGATAAAACAGTATAAACAATGTGCAAGCACTTGTTCTTAAATGTTGGCACATTTCAGGCATTTACACAAGTGTATTATTGGGTTTATGAAGTACAGCAGTTTTTTTGAATTCATAATTTATCTTAATAATTCTGCCTCTATGTTTTGTCACTTCTTTAACTTCCAATTTTTCTCCTTTGTGCAATCATACTGTGCATTTAAGATACATTTCCTCACATGCTATTTTGCTGTAGCCAGTGAGCAGCAAGATAATATTTAGTTTTTGAACAAAGTATACAGTGAATACATGTTAAAGCATATGATGTGTTTTATTTTGTGTTTAAATTCATCATACAGTATAAGAGGTTGAAAAACATTAGATTTTAAAGCATTAGTTCACCCAAAAATAAAAAAATTAAAATTGCTGAAAATTTTCTTACCCTCGGGCCATCTAAGATGTAGATGAATTTGTTTTTTCATCAGAACAGAAATTTAGCATTACATAATTTGTTCACCAATGGATCCTCTGCAGTGAATGGAATCAGAATGAAAGTCAGAATGAAAGTTCAAACATCTGATAAAAACATCACAATAATCCGCAACATGACTCCAGTCCATCAATTAACATCTTGTGAAGTGAAAGGATTACTTTTGAATTATAATGATGTTTTTATCAGTTTTATCAGTGCAGAGGCTCCATTGGTGAGCAAG